CGGAGGCCACCGTTCTCCTGAGCCGGCCCTGGGCCAGAACCACACAGCAGCCGACTCCTGGTCCCGGCCGCGCACCGCGGGCATCCAGATGGACCCTGGTGGCTGGAAGGCGGCCGGGACAGTGCCAGGCGGGAGGGGAGAGCAAGGGGCCAGAAGTCACGGACCGGGGCCCAAGGAGTGTGGAAGGAAAGGGGGGAGGAGGGAGGCGGGCGCCCAGGACAGAGCCCGGCCGGGGGCGGGGCCTGAGGGCTGGACCTGGAGCGTGAACGGGGCTCGGGGCTGAGGCCAAGCGGGTGGGAGGGGCCGAGGGGCCGGGTTGTCCCTCTGAACCCTTGGCAACCTTCAGGGTGGGGGTGTGTGGAGTCTAGATATTTCCCCAAACGAAATCACTTTAATTCCCATGCGTCTAAAAACAGGGTAGGCTAGCCCTAGTCTGGCTCAGTGGGTAGAGTAGGCCTGTGGGCTGTAGGGTCCCGGGTTCCATTCCGGTCAAGGGCGAGTTCCTCCTTCCTCCGCTGGGCTCAGGCTCCTCCCAGCCAGGGCCCTGGTCGCTGCATGTGCAGGAGGCAACTAATCAGTGGGTTTCTCTCACATCCATTTCGGTCTTTCCCTCTCTCTTCCACCCACTCTGAAGGAGTAAAAATAAACAAAAACAGAGTGTGATAAAGCTTTTATTCTTTTATTATTACTTCCCTTCCTCCCACCATCCCTCCCTCGCCTTCCCTCTGAGATTCTGCACTCCGTTCCACGTCTCAGGATCCACTCCGTTCATCAGTTTATTTTGCTCATTAGATTCCACATATGAGCGAGATCATGTGATACTTGTCTTTCTCTGACTGACTTTTTCATGTAGCATGATACTGATGTTTTTATTCTTTTTAAAAAACTATATTTTAGCCGAGACCGGTTTGGCTCAGTGGGTAGAGCGTTGGCCTGCGGACTGAAAGGTCCCGGGTTCGATTCCGGGCAAGGGCATGTACCTTGGTTGCGGGGACATCCCCAGTAGGGGGTGTGCAAGAGGCAGCTGATCGATGATTCTCTCTCATCGATGTTTCTAACTCTCTATCCCTCTCTCTTCCTCTCTGTAAAAAATAAAATATATATAAAAAAATAAAAAAACTATATTTTATTGATTTTGTACAGAGAGGAAGGGAGAGAGATAGAGAGTTAGAAACATCGATGAGAGAGAGTCATCGATCAGCTGCCTCTTGCACACCTCCTACTGGGGATATGCCCGCAACCAAGGTACATGCCCTTGACCGGAATCGAACCCGGGACCCTTCAGTCAGCAGACTGCCAAAGCAGTCTCGGTTGAAGCTTTTATTCTTAAGGTGACAAAACTGATCCCATCCATTTCTTCTGAGATCCTCACAACCACCTGGGAAGTGAGGAAGGAATAGCTTTCCTTCTGCCTGAGGGAGCTCAGGGCGGGGAGAGCTCAGGGTGGGGGAGAGGAAGTCCCCTGTCTCCCGCCTGGGCCTCTGACCTCAGGGCGCTACTTGCTGGTGGTGTGCGTGGTGCACTGGCACTGTCGTTTGTGCCAGGACCCGGGTCTGTCCTTCAGGTGGCCTCGGAGTGAGTGGCTTAATCTCTCCAAACCTAACTCCCTGACGATGTCAGGTGATGCTGGCATGAGGAAGCTCTCCTGGGTGCCTGGTGCCGTCTGTGGCCTAGTCGTGCCCAAAGGGCTGGGGGAGTCAGATCTGACCGCCGCGGTGACCCAGCAGCCAGTGCTGTCCTGCGCCAGGGTGGGCTATTTCCTCCCTGGCCGCTCGCAGCCCTGGTGCTCGTCAGGTCTCCCTGGCTTTCTGGGGAGGCTGCTGGAGGGTGGGGCGGGGTGGGCGGTCAGTGGACCTTTCACCAGCAGGACCTGCAGAGCCGTAGCTTTTTCTAATTGTTAAAAGAATTACATATGTCTCTTCTTTCCCAGACTGAGCCCCTCCCTGGCCACTCCCACCGCCCCAGGGTCTGTGCCCATTGGTTATGCTAATAAGCATGCATACAAGTCCTTTGGTTGCTCTCTAACCCCCTACCAGCCTCAGAGCCATAGCTTTGGATCTAATTTTGCAGTTTGGGGACTGCCATCAAGCACCGATGCTTCCTCATATCCAAACTGGGGACTCCAGATTAAATCTCAGGCCCCCAATTCAGACCCAACGTCTTGACATGAAATTACAGCCACTGCTGTAACCGGTTTGGCTCAGTGGATAGAGCATCGACTGAAGGGTCCCAGGTTCGATTCCGGTCGAGGGCATGTACATGGGTTGTTGGCACATTCCCAATGGGGGGTGTGCAGGAGGCAGGCGATCAATGTTCCTAACTCTCTCTATCCTCCCTTCCTCTGAAAAAAATCAATTAAAAATATATATATAAAAAGAAATTGCAGCCAGTACCTCTCCTCCCCTCCTCAGCGAGATGGCCTTCATGTAGCCTTCCTTTCCTTTCTCTCTTCCATCCCAGTCTCCCCACATGTCCCTCGTGTTTCTGTTCCCATCTCACATCCCCAGCCTCTCCCATGTTCTCCACTCCCCTCTCTCCTCACCCCGCTCCCAGCTTTCCTCAGCCCTTCTCTCTCTTTCTTCCCCTCCTTGCCCCTGCCCCTCCCCCCCTCCAGGTGGTCTCTGCAGGGGGCAGTTTTGAATTCAGGGGCCTAGCCTCCCAGGGCACCAGTGAAAGGTATTTCAGGAACAGCCAGTCTCCTTCTGAGCAGAGCGCCTCCCCGTGGGCCTGGGCGGGGGGCCTCGGGGCGCTGCCGAGTGGAGCGTTGTCTGGGCTCCTTGTATGGGTGTGGGCGCTGGCACAGTTCTGCAATGCCCGTGTGCTCTCAGAGGGCACCACTTCCCTTGGGACACCTGTGGCTACCATGCCCTGCTGCTGGCACTGGGTGGAGGGTGGTAGAGCAGGAGGGCGGCCTGGCGCTGCTGTTGTGGAGACAAGGGTACCCCTGAGTCACCTGGGACTTTTCCTACTTCCTCTCCCCCTCCCACAGATGAGCAGTCACTCAGCCCTTTAATTTGCCTCTGAAATGCCCCCCTGGGACTTTCCTCCTCTCTCCGGTCCCAGCCTCACCAGCTCCTGAGCGGACTGCGGCAGTGAGGTCCCAGCATCTTCCAGAACACCTGCCACCCGCCCCTCATTTCCATGTAATCCCACGGCCATACAGCTCCCCGCCCACAGCTCCCCGCAGGCGCCTTTAGAACGTGCCCAACGCGGCCTTCTCCGGTCTCAGCGGTCTTGTCACCGGACTGTCTTCTCTGTGCTTCACCTGGTGCTTTGTAAGCATTCCAAAGCCAGTTACTGATAGACACCCCTCCAGGAGCATTTCAGTGTGCACCGAAAAGAACAGAGCCCCCGGCTGGCGTGGCCGGTAGGATGGGTGTCATCCTGTGCACCGAAGGGTTACCAGCTTGATTCCCCGTCATGGGGTCAGGGCCCCGGCCCAGGTTGCTGGCTTGATCCCCATTAGAGATTGCAGGAGGCAGCCAATGGGTGTTCTGCTCTCACATCAGTATTTTATTTATTTTTTTCTCCCTCTAAAAAAACAAAAAATTAAAAAAAGAGTAATTTCCCATATAATCATACTATCATCACAGCTAAAACATTTATACTCAGTTCATATTCAAATTTCTCCAGTTGTTACCAAAATACCTTTCAGTTTGTTTGCCGGAAGATTGCACTTGGTTGTTATCTGTCCAAAGACTTTTTTTTAAAATACATATTTTATTGGCTTTTTACAGAGAGGAAGAGTGATCGTTAGAAACATCGATGAGAATCACCCATCAGCTGCCTCCTGCACACCCCCGACTGGGGATGTGCCCGCAACTAATGTACATGCCCTTGACCGGAATCGAACCCGGGACCCTTCAGTCCGCAGGCCGACGCTCTGTCCACTGAGCCAAACCAGCTTCGGCTGTGCAAAAGTTCTTAATCGCGACTTCAGACCACCTTTCCCGTCCATCGCTCACCACACTCTTCCCCCGGCCATCAGCCACCAGCCCCGCTGGCCATGGCGCAGGCTCCGCTTTCCTCGTCCTGCGCTCCGGCTCCGAGCGCCCCGGAGGGCGCTGCCCGCCCCTGAAGCCCGTCTTTCCCTCCCCGGGGCTGCGGCCCCGCCGCCTTCCCCAGCTCCGATCGCCGGCGGCCCCCTCCCGGCCGGGCCCGCGCTCCCAGCCCTGGGCAGCCCCTCCTCAGCACACCCACCCCAGCCCGCCGCCCCGGGGAGGGTCCGGGCCGCTGCGCCCCGACCCTCCCTCCCGCGGCTCCCGGTCCGTCCTCCCCGGCGCGCGCCCCGGGACGCAGGGAGCGGCCGGAGCCGGGCCCGGGGCAGAGGCGGGCGCAGGCGGGGCGCCCCGGGCCCGAGCTGGCCGGCTCCGGCCTCGGCCGGTTCCCGCAGCCCCTTCCTTCCGGGCCCCGGGCGGCCGCGGGGGCGGGGCGCCTGCCCGCCGTCCGTCCGTCTGCCCGGGGCCGCGGCGGTGCCGGCCGGCGGGCGGGGCTCCGGGGTCCGCGCCCCCCGCTGCCCGGGGCGGCGGGCACACATGCCGGCCGGTCCTCCCCGGGGGCAGCGGCCCGGGGGCTGCGGTGGCCGAGGAAGGCGTCCTCCGCCCGGCCGCCCCCAGCAGCCCGGAGCGGAGAGGGCACCGGCGGGGGACCCCTCCGGAAGGCGGGGACTCCCGGGAGGCGGCGGGGAGCCTGGAGTGTTCATTCGGGGCCCCGGACCCCGCACACCGCCCTTGGGAGAAGCGGGCGGGAGCCGTCGGAAGGGAGCGGCTCCGGCGGGGGACCCCCAGCCCCGGCCCCCGCCCAGCCCGGCCCGGGGCAGGGGCGCAGGGGAGCCCCGGGCACCCGCTCCGGCCCCGGCGCCTCCACGGCCCGGGTGGGCGCCGACTCGGGGGTCCACGTGGCCGGGCCCGCCCGGGGCTCGGCTCCCCGCGGTGACTCAGGCCGCCCGGTCGCCGTCACATGAGGAGCGGGGGGCGGGCGGGAGGGAGCCGGGGGCGGGGGCGCGGGGCGGGGCGGGGCGGGGCGGGCGCACTGAGCCCTGCGCGGCGGCCGGAGCGGCGGGAGGGAGCGGCAGCCTCAGCACCAGGTGAGCGCGGGGCCGGGGCCGGGGCGCTGGCAGCCCCCCGCCCGCCCCCCGGGCCCGCCGCCCCCCGGGCCGGCCGCGCCCCGGCCCCGGCCCCGGCCCCGCAACTTTGCAACTTGTGGGAGCTCCTGGCGGCGGCCCGGGGCGGGCGCACTGCTCCGCGGGCGCCGGGCGCGGGCGGCCGGGCCGGAGGGGCCGGCGGGGGTCTGAGGCCCGGCTGGCGGCGCCCCTGCCCGCGCCCTCGGTCCGCCCGGCGCGGGCGGCGGCGGCCCGGGCCGCGGAGCGGAGGGGAGGGGGCTGGAGACGTGGATGTGCCGCGGGTTTCCGGGGGGCGGGGCCGGGAAGGGCCGGGAAGGGCCGGGAAGGGGCCGAGCGGGGAAGGGAGGCTCGGAGGGCCGGCTGAGCCGGAAGCCGAGCCCCCCGCCGGTCCTCACCCGCCTGCCCCGCCAGGCCCGGCACCATGGCGGTGGAAGGAGCCATGAAGTGTGTGAAGGTCCTGCACTACGTCCTGCTGCTGGCCTTTTTCGTGAGTGCGGGGGGCGGGGGCGCTGGCGGGGGGGGGGGGGGGGCGGGGAACCGGGAACGGAGGCAGCTGGCGGCCAGATGTGCAAGGAGAGCCGGGGCAGCGGCCACCCCTCCGCCGCCTTGGGGACCCCGCGGCCGGTGTGGATGTGGAGGGGCCCCTCACCCCGCCTGGCCTTCCTGTCTGGTGACCAACCTTGTGATAGGGTTAGTGGGGCAACCGGCCAACGGCTGATGCTATCACTGCCGTGGGCACTGTTTGTCCAGGGAGGGGCCCCCTGCCTCCTCTTAAAATTTTTATTTATTGACTTTAGAGAGAGAGTGAGGGAGGGAGAGAAACATCTATTTGTTGTTCCACTTGTTTATGCATTCACTGGCTGATTCCTGAACGTGCTCTGATGGGATCAAACCCGCAGTCGCGGTGTCCTGGGAGGACGCTCAGCCCAGCGGGCTCCCTGGCTTGGGGTGCCCTCCCCCCCCCAGCTGATGGGCCCGGGCTGGGCGTGGGGAGTGACAGGGCGGCTCTCGGAGCCCCAGAGGCCCCCGGGGGCTAACTCTACCCGGAAAGTGTGCCTGGGGCTTCAGGGTTAAAGCTTTCTGGGAACTTCTCTTTTTGCAGTCGACCAAAGGCGGGTGACGATGGGTCATCCTCGCCCTCCCCACAGCCGATTGGAGGGTGAGAACCTGCCTCTCCGGGACGGGGTGCATCTGACTCGGGGTGCAGCCCTGCCCTCCGGAGGGGCCTGGGTCTGGCCTGACCGCCCTGCTCTCCCGGCAGGCCTGTGCGGTGGGGCTGATGGCCGTGGGCGTAAGCCTCCTGCTGGTCTTCAACGAGACGGTGGACAAGGGGACCGCCAGCGGCGTGCTGCCTGTGGTCATCATCGCCGTGGGCGCCTTCCTCTTCCTGGTGGCCATTGTGGGCTGCTGCGGGGCCTGCCAGGAGAGCTACTGCCTGATGGTCACGGTGCGTGGGCGGGGGGGCCAGTGGGGGGTGTGGGGCTTCTGGGGGTCACGTCTGTGGGGGGCCCCGGAGGTGGGCCGGGGAGGAAAGCCTCGGAGCGCTCCGAGGCTGGCTGGGCCGCCAGGCCCGACTCCAAACCCGACGCCGGTCCTTGTGCCTGCAGTTTGTCATCTTCCTGTCTCTCATCTTGCTGGTGGAGGTGGCCACCGCCATCGCTGGCTATGTGCTCCGAGACAAGGTAAGCAGGGAAGAAGGGGAGAGCCTTCCCTCGGAGGCTCTGGGACTCAGGAACCCGGAATGCTGACCTCGACTTCCTACTCCCAGGTGAGATCAGAGTTTAGTAAGGACTTCCGGCAGCACGTGAAGAATTATCCCAGACAGAACCATACAGATGTTTACCTGGACAAGATGCAGACACAAGTGAGTGGGGTCCTGGGACGAGGGCAGTGGAGGAAGAAGGCGCCATCTCCATACTGAAGGTGGAGGCTCACTAACAGCCTCCCCCGTGTCTCTCCTCCCCCAGTTCAGCTGCTGCGGGGCGGATAACTACACAGATTGGCAGAAGCTCCCTCTGGAGCCCAAGAACTGGGTCCCTGACTCCTGCTGCGTCAATGTCACTGAGGGCTGTGGGCTTAATTTCAAGGTGAAGGACATCCACACTGAGGTAGGGAGGAGGCCGAGGTGCGATGGCGGGCACCTGGGAAACGTTTCAAGAGATGAGAGGAAGCAGGGATGGAGGTGGAGGGGTTGGGGTTCTGAGAGGCTGGGGGTCAGGGAAGGGGAGGGGCTGGGAAGGCAGGGGTGGGGGGAAGGTACAGACGGTGGCGGAGAGACAGGTGGACACACTCCCGTGTGGGGCGAGTCTTTGACGGTGTCTTCGCCCTGTTGTCTGCTGCCCTCAGGGCTGTGTGGAGAGGATTGGGGCCTGGCTGAAGGGCCACGTGCTGGTGATGGCCGCAGCGGCCCTGGGCATTGCCTTTGTGGAGGTGAGGGGCACCTTTGGGTCTCCTTCCGGGGCATCTGGAGAGGAGGGGCAGTGGGCGGGAGGCACCCCTCGGGGAGGGGAGCCCCGGTGTGTTTGGGGCTCTTGGGTGGTTGAGGGCACCTTGCCTTTCTGTCTCCTCTACCCCCCGCCCCCCGTCTTTCCTTCTAGGTCCTGGGAATTGTCTTTGCCTGCTGCCTGGTGAAGAGCATCCAAAGTGGCTATGAAGTGATGTAGGGGCCCTGGTCTCTTCAGCCCCTCATCCAGGAGAGTGGGATAATATGCTCCACAGTTTTCAATTAAACTGATTATTTTTTCAGATCAAAACGACTGTTGGTCTTGAGTGCTACTTTATCCCTTTTCTCTCCTCATCCACGCTCCTGTGCCCTGGGCCTTTGTTCCACGTGCACCTCCAGGAAAGAAGGGCCTGTTTTGGGGGGTGCCTGGGAAAGGTTGCTTGGGATGGCCATGGCAGCGGGACTGGGAAGGGGCTGTGGCCCACTGCCCTCCGTTTCCCAGTTGTGTGCTGCTGGGCTCAGTGCTGCAGGGAAACTCACAAAGCCCTACCTGGGAGAGGCCCGCCATGCCACCTGCTGCGGACTTCTCCTGGGCCTTCTGTCCAACTCGGCCCAGCAACTCCCTCCCCGGCAGGGGCCTGCCTCCTTTCAGGGTGGTGATGAGTTGCTCTGACATCTGTGTGGCCAGTGGCCTCCTCCTTGACTTAGATAATAGGAACGTGAGTGCTGCCTTTTTTCCAGCCTAGACGCGACTCCTCCATACTTCTTTCCCTTGCCCCCCAAGAAAAATAAGGGCCATTCCCAAACGCTGAATTGCATTATTACTCCATGTAGAAAAGAAACATCCAATAGTGCCCTCTAGTGGCCATTTATGTGCAGCTTTAAAGACCAACTAGCGATGCATCCCTCTTGCGCCCTCCAGTGGGTGTTAGCTATTTTTCAGGCACTGGACAGAGAACACTTACATGGAGCACCTTCATTTCTGCCTATTTTTTTTTAATTAATATATTTTATTGATTTTTTACAGAGAGGAAGAGAGAGGGATAGAGAGTTAGAAACATTGATGAGAGAGAATCACTGATCAGCTGCCTCTTGCACACCCCCCACTGGGGATGTGCCTGCAACCAAGATACATGCCCTTGACCGGAATCGAACCTGGGACCTTTCAGTCCGCAGGCCGACACTCTATCCACTGAGCCAAACCGGTTTCAGCTGCCCATTAACTTTTAAAAGAACATTTATTGAGTGCCTGTTTTGTGCCAGGCACCAGGAAGTACCAGGGTGAGGACAGAGTTCTTGTATTTGAAGAACCATCTGTTGCTGGAAGGCTGGACTAGACTGCCTGGGCGGGCTTGGGAAGGACCCAGGTGAGCACAGCGTCCACCAGGCTGGCGGGCAGGTAGGAGGCTGGCAGCCAGAGCAGCTTGGCGTCCCAGCCTGGGCTGTAGCGGGTCCTGGGGTGACGAGCGGTCAGGGCATGCTCCAGGCACCTGCTCACCTTGGCCAGGTCCGGGTCACAGATCAGGCTCATGACGCGCTGCTGCACTTCCAGGTCTGCAGCCCGGGGGTGGTTGGAATCAGTGTCCCTGTCCCACTGCAGCCCATCTCGGGCCCTCTTCCGGGTCCTGGAGCTTGTTGCCCAGCAGAGGTGGGAGGGGTCCTTAATCCTGTCCCCAGTTAGGGGGAACGGGCAGGCTCCACGTGGCCTGGTGTCCTAAAGCACCACTCCCGGACTGCCCTCCCCCCTCCCCCCGGCAGGCTGGTGCAGGGCTGACCTTCCCTCCCCCCGTGGGCCCACTGCTCACACTCGGCCAGGAAGGCATCCCCGTAGCGGGCCTGAGTGGCTGGCGGCAGCCGTGCCCAGCAGGCCCGCAGGGCGCGCTCCGAACTCTCCGCATCTGTCATGGGGGTTCGGAAGAAGCCAGGCTCCACGACGGAGACCCGGACTCCAAAAGGGGCCACGTCCCGCCTGGAGAGGAGGAGAGGGGCTTTTGGGTTCTTGCCCTAACAGGGAGGGGTGTTCAGGGACACGGGTGGGGGCTATGATGGGAAAGTTATTAAACCAGGGACAAGGGTCCTGACTGGACACGCTGCTGCCTTGGGATGAGGGGCAAATGGGGACAGAGGGAGGGGGTGTTTTTCCTTTGTATTCTCTTCCACAGCCTAGAGCAGAGGTTGGGTCTAGATAGCAAATATTTCCTTAATGCAGGACTAAAAATATTACGTAGGCACCTATGTAATCCTTTAAAAATGTAAGAACCATTATTGGCTTATAGGCAGCTGGCCAGATCTGGCCTGAGAGCCACGGCTTGCCAATGGCAGCCCTAGAACCCCATTCCCTAACCCCCAGAACACAGGGTGGCGTCCTGAGTTCTGGAGAGGAAGGTGTAGATCAGTATTTGCTGGGAGGAAAGTGGGGATACATCCAACCACCCCAGGCGGATGCAGAAGTCCAGGTATAAAGTATGTGCTTCATGTGTCGAATGGGAAATTAAATGACAGATGGGCCGAAACCGGTTTGGCTCAGTGGATGGAGCGTCAGCCTGTGGACTCAAGGGTCCCAGGTTCGATTACGGTTGGGGGCATGTACCTTGGTTGTGGGCACATCCCCAGTGGGGGGTGTGCAGGGGGCAGCTGATCGATGTCTCTCTCTCTCATCGATGTTTCTGGCTCTCTGTCTCTCTCCCTTCCTCTCTGTGAAAAAAAAAAAAAAAGACGGACAGATAGGGACAAAAATAGAACCTGGCCAGTGTGGCTCAGTGGTTGAGTCATGAATCAAAAGGTCTCCAGTCTGACTCTCAGGCAGGGCACATGCGTGGGTTGTGGGCTCCATCCACAGTGCGGGGGAGGGAGGGGAGGAAGGGCATGTGGGAGGCAGCCAATGGATGTCTTTCTCTGATTGATGTTTCTGTCTTTCTGTCCCTCTCCCTCTCTGTAAAATAAATAAAAACACATTAAAAAGGTCAATATTGAAATGACTTGCTGAGTGATGGTGACAAAAGCAGGCTTCCTTCTGAAGTGGCTATAGCTAGGGAACTTGTACTTCTGCTCATAATTCGGGCCCTAACCTGGGCAGCTGGTGGGAGCATTGTCCTGTGCACTAAAAGTTTGCTTGTTTGATTCCTACTGAGCACATGCCTGGGTTGTGGGCTCAGTATGGGTAGGGGGCTTGTAGGAGGCAGTTAATTAATAGATGTTTCACTCTCACATCAATGTTTCTCTTTCCTCTCTCTCTAAAAATAATTCAGGCCCTGCTCCCATGTCATCATTGTCAAGTCTACACTGTGCTCTCATGGGACTTCGAAAATACCATCTAAAGATGAGGGGCAGGCCAAAACCGGTTTAGCTCAGTGGATAGAGCATCGGCTTGCAGACTGAAAGGTCCTGGGTTCGATTCCGGTCAAGGGCATGTATCTTGGTTGCGGGCACATCCCCGGTAGGGGGTGTGAAAGAGGCAGCTGATTGATGATTCTCTCTCATTGGTGTTTCTCTCTATCCCTCTCTCTTCCTCTCTGTAAAAAATCAATAAAATATGTTAAAAAAATAAAGATGAGGGGCAGGAGAACAGAATGACCAGGCTCAGTGGTCTTGGGTAAGTTATGTTACTCTATGGATATTAATACATACTCTGATAGGGCTGCTGGGAGAATGAATGAGAAAATATGTAAAGGAACTAGCTCATTGTAATAGTCATCTCTCTATATAAAAGCCTAATATGCTAAGAGTGTCCGACTGATTGGTCGGACCAATTGACCAGTAGCTATGACGTGCACTGACCATCAGAGGGTAGATACTCCAACTGGTAGGTTAGCTTGCTTTTGGGGTCCGGCTGATTAGGACTGGGTGAGACAGGCTGGATATGCCCTGGAGCCCTCGCTCGGTCCTTCCCTGGCCGGCTGGCCCCCAACAGGACTGGGCAAGACAGGCCCCGATCGGCCCCAATCGATCGCGGGCCAGGCCAAGGGACGCCAGGACTCCACCTTTGCACAAATCCGTGCACTGGGCCTCAGTTATTAATGATACTAATACTGACAGCAGGCTTTCTGAGGTATTTTCTTTTTTGTTAATCCTTACCTGAAGATATTTTTCCATTGATTTGTAGAGAGTGGAAGGGAGAGACAGACAGAGGGAACATCAATGTGAGAGAGAGACCTCAATTGTTGCCTCCTGCATGAGCCCTGACCAGGGCCGGGGAACCTGCAACCAAGGCATGTGACCTTGCCTGGAACTGAACCTGGGGCCCTTCAGTCTGTGGGTCAACGCTCCACTGAGCCAACCAGCTGGGGCTTGGGCATTTTCTACATGGGGCTTTACACGTACCCCATTTCACTCTCAACACCCCCGGCACTGGTCTTCTCATCCTGGTCTAGCAGAGGAGGAATAAACTGGGATAAAGAAAACCAACCTACTAAGGTCACAAAACGCACATGAGAGGCTGGGCTATGACGTCAGCCCTAGGCCAGCTCCTCCGAAGTGTTCCATTACATGTTTTGGTGATCTTTGCAGGGCGGACCCTGCCCCCTCACCTCAGACTGTCTGAAAAGGCCTCCAGGCCAAACTTGGAGACACAGTAGCCCCCACCGTTGGCTGCCAGGCGCCCCAGGACGCTGGTGATGTTGACCACCCGGCCCCGGGCCCGCTGCAGTACAGGCAGCAGGGCCAGGGTGACGCCGATGGGACCCAGTGTGTTCACAGTCAGCACCCGCCGGAAGTCCTCCCTGGTCAGCCATGGCGTGGGCCCAATGATGCCGGCCACCCCCGCGTTATTCACCAGGCCAAAGAGACCTGTGGGGGAGGCGGGGGGTCACTGAGGGCAGGGCAGGCCTGAGCACTGCCCCTTCCGGGCCCCCTGGTTCCCACTGTCCGTGGGAGTGAACCCAGGGGCTCCCGCCAGGCTCACCTGTGTCCCCAACACACGCTTCCACCCACGCGGCTGCCCGCTGCACACTCGGGGGGTCGGTGACGTCCAGCAGGGTGGTGCGGAGGCGGGAGGAGGCGGCCCGCTGCAGGTCCTCCGCCCCCGACGGCGTCAGGCAGCTGGCCAGGACTCGGAAGCCCCTCTGGTCCAGCCTGAGCGCCAGGAGCCGCCCGAAGCCAGAGTCGCAGCCCGTGATGAAGACGAAGGCATCGCTGGGCGGCAGGCGCCGCCGGTCTCTGAGCAGCCACAGCGCCGCCCAGAGGAAGGCGCCCAGCAGCACAGGCAGCCACATGGCCGCCCCGGGATCTGCAGGGGCAGGAGCGGTTTTACTCTGCCCTCGGGCCCTTGCCCCTAATGTAAGGTGACCAGACGTCCCCATTTTTAACAATTTGTCCTGCGGCGTTTTAAAAAAGTCCCGATTTGCCAAAACCGGTTTGGCTCAGTGGTAGAGCGTCAGTCTGCGGACTGAAAGGTCCCGGGGTTCGATTCCGGTCAAGGGCATGTACATTGGTTGCGGGCACATCCCCGGTGGGAGGTGTGCAGGAGGCAGCTGGTCGATGTTTCTCTCTCATCGATGTTTCTGTCTCTCTCTCTCCCTTCCTCTCTGTAAAAAATCAATAAAATATATTTTTTAAAAAGTCCCGATTTTTGTATTTTTTATTTATTTATTTTTAAATATATTTTATTGATTTTGTACAGAGAGGAAGGGAGATAGTTAGAAACATCGATGAGAGAGAGTCATCGATCAGCTGCCTCTTGCACACCCCCCACTGTGGATATGCCCGCAACCAAGGTACATGCCCTTGACCGGAATCGAACCCGGGACCCTTCAGTCCCCAAGCCAACGCTCTATCCATTGAGCCAAACCGGTCTTGGCAAAAGTCCCGATTTTTGGAAAAAAATCTGGACTTTTTTTTAAAACGCCGCGGGACAAATTGTTAAAAAGCGGGACTGTCCCGCCAAAAGCGGGACGTCTGGTCACCTTACCCCAATAGCCTCCCTAGCTGGAAGTTTCTGGCCTCAGCATCTGTTTGGCAGAGAGATGGCAAATTATGCCTCCTCTGGGCATAGCCAGGATCTGGGCAGCCCCTTTACTCGTGGGAAACAATCCGAGCGCAGCCCGCTGTGCGGAGCAGAAGCTCTCCTTGCTGTCACCTTGTATCTCCTGCTGAGCCAGGGACCCTGAACTCTCTAAATGACGCTGGGCCTTGTCTTAGGAAACACACAGGGGCGAAGAGCCCCAAACTTACTGTGTGATGCTGAGCATCTCACTGCGTCTCTGGACCTGTTTTCTCACCTGCCGAGTGGGACTAGCACCCGCCATGCCCCCTGGGGAGTTGTGGAGGATCAAAAGGGAGAAGTGTGAGGAGGCACGTTGGAGCTTGGAGCGGGAGTTATCAGCACGTGCCATACCTCACAAGTCCTCCCAGCCGCCCAGCGCCCGCCCCTGCTTACCTCCTCCGGGGGAGCGGGCAGGTGCCACACCAGCTTCCTCCTTTGCTCCCAGTCCCCGGCTCCCCCAGGAGCTCCAGCTGAGGCCAAAGTCCGCGGGGTGGACGCGGTGCCAGAGGTATTAGTGTATGTGGGGGCGGGGAGGGGGAACTCTGAGAGGCGGAGTCAGGGGAGCGGAACCGGTCAGCAGGGGCTTGGCACGGGCCAGGCGTGCCCAGACCCTCTCCCTGGCTACCTTTTCCAGCCGGGGTTCCTGATCACCTCGGTGGTAGGCTCCCAGCAGGCAGGATCTATCAAGTAGGACAGCTGCCCCTGCCTGTTGGTGACCTGGGACCTGTCATTTCTCCTCCAAAGTGCTCCCATGCCCAAGAGTTAATCTCCCACGAGGTCCAGACTCATGATGTGGCTTAGTACCAGGCTGGGAGAGCCGTGAGCACGCGGAGGCAGAGTCCCAGAGGCGGGCCGGGCCTGCTCCCTGCCTACTGCTCCCCTGCGGAAACGGAAGCCCTGGTTAGGAAGCTTGCTGGGCAGGGCCCCTACTGGGACCTCTGGGTGACTTCCAGTCACCCAATGGGCGCCTGTCCCTTAGGGAAACGTCTGCGACCCTCCCCCTCCCACCCCTCTGCTGAGCTAGCAGCTCCTTGGAATGTATCACAGAGAAACTGAGGCTTGTGTTTTATTTGTGTCCTGTCAGCCTCCCTCCTGCCCCATGGGGAGATGGAGGGGGCAGGAGCGAGGTAGAGGGGGAGGGGAGTGGGGTTAGGACGGGGCCGACTGCAGCTGTCCTTTGTAGACGTATTCCAGGGCGGTGGCAATGGTGCGCATGTCCATCTCAATGCTCCGGGCCCAGTTCTCCACATCCCCGATCTCCTGGGAGGGGAGAGGGCGGGAGTCCCCAATCAGGGTGAGCCGTGTGTGGCTCCAGTGGGTGGATGGGGGCGCTTCCCACCCCCTACAAAGGGCTTTGCTTGGACCCCCCAACTCCCTTCACCTTCCTCTGGCCTCTGACCCCGGGGTCACAGATGGGGTTTCTGGGGCCCTCTGCTTCCTCTTTAGCCCCAGGCCTGAGGTGACCCCGGAGGCAGCCAGTGGAGGCCCAGGATGGGGAGGGGGATGTGGTCGGGAGTGGCCCACCTTGAGTGCCTGGTTGAAGTTTTCCACCATCCCGATCCACTGGCCTGTCTGCTTGGCGAACTGGGCAGCCTGGACCTGAAGGGTCTTCACCTCATGGTCCAGCTTCCGCTGGTTCATGTAGGCCTGGGCCACACTACAGGGTGGAGGAGGGGGTGAGAGGGGTCTCCAGGACCAATACCCCGCTGCACGCGTGGGAGGCCAGCCTGGGTCAGGCTGGGGACAACCTCGTGACTGTGACCATGACTGTGACCAGGCTGGGATGTGACGCAACAAGACTAGCACATGCAAACGAACCCACTCCCAGGGTTCTCGGCAGACCCCAGCCGGGAGCGGTGTAGGAACGCCCCCCTCCCACCCCCCAGAGCCCCTGAAGCGGGTGGGGAAGCAGGGCTAGCCTGGTGGGCGGATATGGGTGAGTAAGGAGCTGAGAAGAAAAAGGGGGAGATGGGAGAAGCTGGGAAGATCCAGTAGGAGGGACACATCTGGCAGCAACCGGAAGCCCAGGGATCTGTGCAAGGTGGGAAGGAAGCTTTGGCCACTCCCTGAATCTGGGGTCGGACGGGAGAGCAACCCCCTCCCCAGGAACTCAGGGTCAAGAGGAGATCGCCCAGGGACTGCTTCTTGGCTCAGACTCTCTCCCAACCCTCCTCCCTTCGCCGCACACGCACACTTTCTCCCTTCCTTCCTTCTGCTCTATTTTCTTTTCTCCTCAATCAAGGCGCTGGCTGCAGTTACCATTACTGCCAAGCGGTTGGTGTCCTCAGTTCTCTGCCTGCCTCCGTTCCCCCTAACCCTCTGCATTGACTGTGTGATAACTGTTCTCTCCTATTGGCTGGTGAATCTTCCACTGCCTACCCCTAAGCTCCAGGAGAGCTGAAACTCCACATCCGGTGCCCCCGCCCCCCGGAATGTGTGGGGGCTGGAGAGGGCAAGGGGCCGGGGGCGCGGAGGGAGGGAAGGACACCTGACAGGGGCTGAGACAGACGGGGCCTTTGTGCTCCTTTCCGAACGAGAGGAGCCGTGGGCAGCAACACAAAACCCTTTCTAATCTGGCTTTGGCTTAGCTGCCCTCTAAACTGAAAGTGGGGGGGCCCTAGCAAAGTTAGAGGAGAGGAGGGAGCCGGCCCACGTCCCAGCAGAGCCAGGAGGCGCCAGTGCTGGGTGTGAGGGTAGCCCTGTCCCTGGGCACAGCTGGCCGCACGCAGGAGGGGGCAGTGAGGAGCGGAAACAGTAAGAGTAGGGGGCTCCCAAGGTTTCCGGATTCCTCCGGGAGTTCCTAAAATCTGTTTTTCCAGCTGATCTCCTGCTCTCCCTTATTCAAACCGAGTGAAGGGTGAGGCCTGGAGGGGAGGGCGGTCAGAGGCCCTGACCACAGCCTTTCTTCCCCCAATCTTGCCCAGAAATGAGTAATGAAGATGGCAGCCCTTGCCCGGCTCACTCGGTGACTCAGGCTCTGGATTCACAACTGTGTGCCCTGGGGTGGAAGGCAGCATAACGGCCTCCTTTCTTCCAACAAGCGGCCTATCAAATCGCCATCTCCGTGCTCTCCTGGGTCACTCACGGTCAAGGGAGATTCTTAGCTCCTTCCCAAGTTTCTGGCTGTTAACGACATTCTCCTTTAGGACTGCAGCACAGGGTGGTCCCTGGAGCCCGTTGGCACAGGGACAAACTTTCAAAAAAAATCCCCCTACCCCCATGCCCAGAAGGAAGGGCAGAGGCAGCCTGGCTGAGCGCCTGGCAGAGGTCCTGCTCTCACCCTCACCAGCTGTGCCATCTCTTTCCTGCCAGCTGCTCCCAGGCCAGCCAGAGGGTGGGAGGTGGAGAAGGTGGTAAGCCACAGCGACAGCTGGACTGAGGGGCGCAAGGAGGTGGGCAGATGGCATCAGATGGTGAGCACCGGGAAGTTACTGGGAGGAGGGAGAGATCTGGCTGCTTCTCAGACCACTGCAGCTGCTCTCCCCTGACCACGCTATGGCTCAGAGCTGACTCAGGCCTCCCTCCACACACGGACACTGGGCGGGCGGGGCAGGGGACGAGCAGGACATCTCCGCCCTCCCAGGGCAGGCTGCGGGGAGGGCTTGCCCGCCTACACTTGGGGTGGGCGGCAGGTGTGGGCGGGAAGAGGGTCATACCCCACATTGAGGTGATCCACCAGAGCTTCCGTCAGGCAGGTCGCTGCAGTGATAGCCTCTCGCCTCCTCTTCTCTGGGGGAGGGAGGGGAAGGGGGTTGGAGTGTTTCTGCGGGGTGCTGCTGGGTGGCTTCCCCTGCTCATCACTGTTCTGCTAGTTGTGGGAACAACTCATCTCAGAGCGCCCGAGCTGAAAGGACTTTGCCAAACAGACACACCTCTCATGTCCGAGGTGAGGCCGCCGGTACCCGGAGGGGGGAAGCGTCTGGCTCAGGGCCGTCACGTCCAGGGCTCAGACTCCCTGGCACGCTTTCCCCGCCTTCCTGGCCTTGGTGACCCCGGATTTCCAAGCCCGCGCTCAGGAAAGCAGCGCCCCGCACTTGTTTCGGCGGCTTCCGGCCTCCAAGAACCCCCTCTCCGGCGGGTCCCCAACACCCTCCTCCCCGCTGGAGCCCCGCCCACTCCCGGAGGAGCGGCCGCCTGGACCAATCGGCACGGCGCTCCGGGGCAGGGGCGGGGCCGCGAAACCGGGCGGCCCGGCCGAGGGGCGTTTCCGAGGGGACGCGGGTGACGGTGAAGGGACCCGAGCCCGTGGGCACCGGAACGGACTTTCCCAAAGAAGCACCCCTCCCCTCCTCCTCCGACTCCCGCGCCCACTAGCCCGCGCCCGTCCCTGGATCTGGGCGTTACTCGAGGTCCAGGCTCCGGGCCGAGGCTAGGCCGCGGGGGGTTGGGCGCGCAGGCGGGCCCCGGGCTCACCCTGCAGCTCCTTGCGTTCGTTCTGCTTGGCCTGGTGCTCCTTCAGCAGGCGGGACAGCATGGCCGCGGCGGGCCGGGGGCAGGGGGGCCGGGCAGCCGCCCCCTCAGACTCCCGGAGATGGACGCGCTCTTCCGCGCCGAGGGCCCGCGCCACGTGACCGCCCTATCACGTGACGCCGGGACCGCCCCCTCTGCAGCCAGGTTGGCAGGTAGTGAGAGCTTGGCTGGGTGGAAAGGGAATAGTCAAGAGTTGGGGCAGGTGAGCTCTTGTCTTTATTGGTAGTTCACTTTTTGGTGAATGTTGGGAGGCGTTTTCTTTATCACTCATATTGCAGAGCCAATTTTTAAAAATAAATATATTTTTTAATTGATTTCAGAGAGGATGGGAGAGGGAGAGAGAGATAGAAGCATCAATGATGAGAGAGAATCATTGATTGGCTTCCTCCTGCACGTCCCCCACTGGGGATGGGATCACAACCCCGGGCATGTGCCCTGACCAGGAATACAACCCTGACATCCTGGTTCATGGGTCGATGCTCAACCACTGAGCAAACCAGACAGGTGCAGAGCCATTTTTTTTTTTTAATCCTCAACCTGAGGATATTTTCCCATTGGTTTTTATTTTTTTTTATATTTTTATTGATTTTGTACAGAGAGGAAGGGAGAGAGATAGAGAGTCAGAAACATCGATGAGAGTCATCGATCAGTTGCCTCTTGCACACCCCCTACTGGGGATATGTCCGCAACCAAGGTACATGCCCTTGACCGGAATCGAACCCGGGTCCCTTCAGTCCCCAAGCCGACGCTCTATCCATTGAGCTAAACTGGTCCCGGCAACTTCCCATTGGTTTTTAGAGAGTGGAAGAGCGAGGGAGAGACAGAGAGAAATGTCAATGTGAGAGAAACACATCGATTGGCTGCCTCCTGCACATGCCTGACTAGGGCCTGGGTGGGGGAGGAGCCTGTGAGCCAGATACATGCCCCTTACAGGAATCGGACCCAGGACCCTTCAGTCCACAGGCCCATGCTCTATCCACTGAGCCAAACCGGCCAGGGACAGAGCCAGTTTTTAACATTTATTTGGATTTCAGGCTCCTGGTGTGTGTGTGTGTGTGTGTGTGTGTATGTGTGTGTGTGTGTGTAGGCGGGGGTTGAGAGGGAAGAGGTGGATGTTGCTAGGCTGTCCATTATGGTTTGGTTGTTGGCAGAGCAGAGGCACCCTAGGCTCATTGAAATTCTTTTCCTTTCTTGCGTTTTCCTCCTGGCAGCTCTGGCCAGTTCTCAGCTGCTCTCAGTTCCTTCCCTCTAGGAGGGGCCACTTTCCTTTCTTTTCCAGCCCCCTCTCTCCTCACCACTGCTGAGGTCCCTCAGCGCTGGGTGATCATTGCAGAGAAGCAGCATTTTAGGCACTTCAAGTGGCCTCCTCGGGAGCTTGGCTAATTGTGGCTAAGTGCAGTATGCGCAATGCCATCACTGTCCTTCTGTGGTCAGGGAGTGGGAACCCATTTCAGTTTTACCAGAAGAATAAATGCTGCTGTCACAGTAA